ATGTAGCAAGCCGAGCAAGAACCAACAACTTGTTCGGGAAAAAAAAAGACTTCTATTTCGCAAGTACGGTTGTACACATAACATTGTCTCTCATTTGATATCTCGTGCTGACCTGCAGTTGTATGTAGATGCAGAGGGAAACGTAGGTATTCGTTGAATAGATATCTTATCTGTAGGTCACCGACCGAAAACACTATGAGAGGTCAAATTCCCGACGGTTTTGCCTCCATCCGTGCGCTGGGAGGCCAGAGGGTGCTTGGGTTGTCATCCCCTCTGCTGGTGAATTTTGTTGTGTACAAGCAGTTCACTATAATACGTTTGTGTAAAAATCGAAACGAAAGCAAGCCCGGCCAAGGATTCATACGCTGTTGCCTACCACGTATTAGTAGTCTGAGCGTGGCGGCAGGCTATAGGGCAATCTCTGGTAGTCAACCGACCGTGGGAACCGCGGCTGCAGTCGTTGATATAAGCTTCCAGGAGTGGCGTGTGCGTTTCCATTTTTCTTCATGATTGGAGGCAACTTGGCAACTTTTCCTGGTTTTTCCAGCGATAAGGGAGTATTTCTCAGAGAGAGCCATCTACAACTGTGCTTGTTCCTGCTTCGGAACACGGAACTTTGTGTAGCGAAGGTTAGTACGGCCAGGCAACCGATTCCCTCGCTCTGAGCGCGCGGGCTGGTGCAGTTGGCAAGAGTTTCGCGTGCTTGTGAGGTGTGTGCTCTCTGCTCTGTCGCAACCCATTCCCCCACAATCAAGTACGAAATTGAGGACCTCACAGCAAGCTGCCAGCGATTTTTTCAAGTCAAAAAGTCGAAATGGTGAGAGCTCAAGCTACGTGGTACGTATACGGCAGAGCTGTAGAGCTCCCTGTGAGAGGCTGTTGGCAGTACAGGACAGCAGGATACCATGGAGTAGTGGCACGCGACGTCTGTCACAGAGCCTGTGTTCGCCACCACCTCGGATATATACCTCCTGAGCTGCGGGTCTACAGCGGTTATAGCTGATGGAACCAACCACACTATGCGGATGAGCGCCGTGGTGACGGCGAGAACAGCTGACAAAGTTGGTGTGTCGCTCCACATGTGGCGGTGCGCAGGCGAACAATTTCAACGAAAACCACGTGTGTGATTCTCCCACACCCGCACAACTTCGGTAGTCCATGAAGTTCCCCATGGGCAGTCCATGAGTTGCGCACTTTGGGCAGCGCATGGACTACCCCGCGGATTCACAACATTGTTATGTGAGAGAATTGTTGTTGTTGTTGACTTCACATTCAACCGTATGCCAGTTGCTAAATGCCAAAATCTAGCAAAGACTCTCAGCCCGTGGTCACGAAAGTGCTAGAGCCATCTGAGGATCTAAAGAACACGCACACGTAGCAAGAAAAAGGT